TCCTTCCTCCTTCCTCCTTCCTCCTTCCTCCTTCCTCCTTCCTATCTACACCAAGCCCCCCAAGGAAAAAAACCTCTTTCTTTACCTCTCCTTATCTACCAGACCTGAGAGGGAGCTCTTTCCACACCTTGCAATGAGATATCAGAGATGAGAAGAGATAGAAGAGATGTGGAGGTGAGCAGGTAAAGATACCAGAGTGTTTATCTAGAGGGAATTTTCTACTCTGCCCCACCCCTGCGCATCCATTAGGGCTACCCACGAGCTTCGCTTACAAATTGCAGACTGTGTGTTAGAGCTAATTAACACTATGTGTCTGACCTTTCTCTTTAATCATTTTTGTATCTTTCTTTTCTATCCATCCACATATTCCGTTCCCTTCCCTATATACAACCCTCTACATCCCCACATGTCTCTCCATCTCTACCTTGGTAATCCCCGAAGAAATCAACATCTCCTTCCCCCTTGTCCTCTTTCCCCAACTCCAACTCCAAATCAAAATCCAAATCCAAATCCAAATCCAAATCCTCATTCTCATCCCCCTCCCAACCCATTATATATACCAATCCCTCCCTTCATTCGTGCCTTGAGAACTTTACGTTCATAGATCGATCGTTTCTCATTTTTCACGTTCATGTTCCGGTTAGGTTACATCATGCAATCCACTTCATTCATCGTTATTTCTCCTTCTCCTCCCCTTGGATCCAGATCCCTCGATCACTTCCCATTCCCTCCCTCCTCCAAAAACCCACCACAAACCCCCCACCAAACAAACAAACAATTCCCCTCCTCCTTTCTCAATTTCTCAATTTCCACCTCCCACCTCCCATCCTCCACAAACCTCACAATATCTACTCACAACCTTCACTCCACCTTATTCACCATATCAATCCATTTATCGACCCTAACCCTATCTGGGCTAAGCTAGTACTCTCCACTCCTCGGAAAGTCTTGCACACGGGTAAAAAGGGTTGTAGAGAGTATCCTCTATCCACTGCACAATCCACTGCAGTATCTCGCTTAACGAACGTACGGGGGTTAAAAGAAGCGAATCTCCACCTCCCAACCCTAACTCCCAACTCCAAAAGACTTCAACTCCCTCCACCTCCCATCCAAAGTCTTGACCTTTCCCAACTCTCGAGTCTAAACTCTACCCCAAAGAAACAAAACATGACATCCCCATCTCATTTTCCCATCTGATTTCCACTTACCAATCGCATACATTTCCAACTCTACCCATTCATCCACAAGACTCTCCACAACCCTTTTCACCTTCACAAGCAAAGACACAAAAAAGTATTTAATAATGCTTTTTTTTATTACGAAATCTTGGTATAAATATCTGCATCTGCATCTTCCTAAACTATGCTATTTGTTTTCTCCCTTCCCATGAGCGAGTAAGCAAGCACATCTGTACACCGAGGAAAAACGCCGGTTCCCCCGAGATGAAAAGAAAGGGAAAAGAACTCCCGGAAATCCCCAATAGAAAGTGCACCATCTTTGTAAACATTACCCATGCCATACATCTCTTTTCCCAAAATACATATTTTTGGTTTGGTTTTTCTTAATCCATATCAAAACACACATAAAGATAAGTTTGCCATTTTCTATGACTCAAGCCAGTCCAAGAATTGAGGTGTGAAATAACTGACCACGATTCCAGCGCCCGCTCGCAGAATTCCCTCGGTGGATTCAAAAGCAATAGCTTTCAAATCGAAAACACCCGCTTTGGCACCAGCGTGAAGCATGGCAAATTCACCGCTTACTTGGTAAGCAGCGATAGGCATGTTCTGTCCAATTTCTTTGGCATCGCTAATAATATCCAGGTATTGACCAGCAGGTTTGACCATGATGATATCTGCACCTTCACCAATATCTCGTTGAATTGCACGGCGAGCAAGACCTCTTCCTCCTGGTGGGAGTTGGTAACATTTTCGATCGCCAAATGAAGGAACCGAACCAGCTGCATCACGGAAAGGACCGTACAAACAACCAGAAAATTTTGCGGCGTATGACATAAGCGTGGTATTGTGTGCGATTCCAGCTTCGATGAGTTTCAGTTTTATGGCTCGGATACGGCCATCATTCATGTCGGATGGCGCAACGCAATGGGCTCCTGCTTGTGCATACGCGATTGCAACATCCGAAATTCGGTCGACGGATAATTGATTGTTGAGAGTTCCGTCGTCTCGTAAGATTCCGCAATGTCCGTGTGAAGTGTATTCGCAAAGGCAAACATCTGCTACAATGTAAAGTTGGGGAAATCTTTGTCGGAGGAGACGAATAGCGGCCATTACTGGACCTTGTGGATCATCGGCTGCGGTACCAAGTGCATCTTTGCAGCCTGGTGCCATTGGAACACCAAACAATATCACGGAGCGCAGACCCTTTCGTACAAGGGGTTCGAGGAAAGGGACGAGTTTATTGATCCCACGTCGGTATTGGTCGGGGAGGGAAGGAATGAGAATTTCCTCATCATCTTGATCGGATATGAAAAGGGGATAGATGAGCATTGCCTGGGGTACATGTCAGAATTTTGGCAGATCCGGCGGGGTAGAGTGTCGTTGTTACCTTGGTCAACTGTCTCTCTGCTTGCCATGACCGCGAGAGTGGATGAGAGTAACCGCCATGCAATTGACTAGAGATGTCTCCAGAGATGCTCACACTTGTAGCCGTCGTGCTCGCATAGGACATTGCTCGGGAGATATGTGAGCGGCGGTCGTCGATTGTTGAAGCCGTGGAAACTGCTCGGTTGAATGGGCGGCGCTCCGAGGCAGTGTCCCTGAAGGACAAATCTTGGACGAGACTGGAGAAGGACATGGTGGTGATAAATGCGCAAGCAGACGGATGATGGATGAAGAAAGATTACAAACAGAAACAGGACAACGAGAGGTATATACGGAAGTCGGAGGTGGGGGTGTAAAAGTGAATTGACTGATCAGGAACTGCGACTGCCTTTTCGAGGGTCCAGGTGCCGGTGTAGTGGGTGCACCCCAGCACTCCAGCACTCCAGCACTCCAGCTGGTGGCGGACTTTCTCAAAGTCCCGTCTGAGCTAAGCCTGAGCCAGGGACCTTGAGACGGCGGAGAGTCGGAGACCGCCAGACAGGCCATTTACGAGGAAAGCACGAACGCCACGCATCCGGTCCGAGGACTTCTAGGCCCGAAACCATCCACAATTTGATATCACAGCTTCACCATTGGCTGAGTGTTGGTTGGGTTGAAGCTGGGGGTTATTAAATTTGGGAAGATGAATGATGGATGATGGATGGTGTTCATCTCTTCTGTCTCCACGATGCCATTTCGAGGGTTTCTTGGTGGCCGGTATTTCGTGCAGCAATGCCGGACTCAAGTACTGTATCGGAACCAATCAGCCGCCCAGCATATTGGGTGACATAACCTAGTTTGGTGGATCTTGGACGTCGTCTCTACATTGAAACGCTCACTAATGCTTTCAACACCAAGTGGTTTTGCAACCACGTAAGAGTACTACTAATGACTAAGTCTCCTGGAATATGGCAAATTGGATGGGTTCTGCAAGCTATTGCAAGAGACCCAGACTCGATTACATCCATTGTTGTAATTTCTTTATTCGACAATGAGCGAAAGCCGAAGTTCTTTGGGGATACAGCTCTAGACTTCACCTTGATCCAATTACACAGAGCTCAGCAATAATGTGTGTAGATGCTTCCATTGCACAATCCTCTGGATGGAAGTTCCAGAATAGAAGGAAGGCAAAGTGAGATGTGGAGCTGATGATGAAGGCTGTGACACTGGACTAAGAGGCAGATAATTCTGTAAGTCTACGTGTATTGTGTCCTTGGAATTGCCCGTTGCCTCAGTCCAGAGTCATGTGAGACCTTTGGTCTTCACTTAGGCACTCTATGTACGAGGTAAGTTACCTTGCTACCATCTCACTATCTCCTTGGTACCTTTCCAAGGACTCCGGGTCACTCTGCCACAAGTGCTGGCATGGTGAACTAGGGATAATGCCTCACAAGTTTATCAAGTAAACATGGACTGTGATATATATACATAACGTAAGAGGGAACTGAGGATTGCTGTACACTCTGTACAAAGTAATAAAGATTCTACCCCCAAACTCTTCAAACCACTAGCTAATGCCTTGCAGACTTAACTCACTTGCAGAATTGTCACTGCAACTGCAAGTGAGATATGGTTGAACCCTCATGTGTCTTGAGAAGCCATAGACAGCTGCACGAGATGCCAGGCTGGAATACTCTGGTAGACTCACGTTGGGTTGCCTCAAGAGTAACCTCTTGCCGTATCTTTTCTGCCTTGGAGGGTTCAAGGGTGCTCCTACCTTACGTATGGCTATATCTGCACTCTTTGGCAGTGAAACTACATGTGGGTAGTCCGAATCTATCTCCTCATTCTCGAGGTTGGATCTACCCAGCCACGATCGGGAGTACCTGGGTAGGGTTAGCATACCTAACGTCTCTGTCTGTTTCTATAAGGAAAGAGTTCCCGACCAGATTGTCTCCACTCAGGTGTCCCAAGTTGGTCCCGTGGCTTGAGGGCTCGCTTGATAAGCCGAGTTTTCAAAGATCTTGAGCTAGAAGTGGTGATATTGTTGGTGGTTGGGAAGGTACGGACAGCTATCATCGCCAACGACTTCCTCGGTCGGTTCACAGCACTCCCCCTTGCCGGCACCCACCAACCGACAAGCCGATGGAGGCTTCAAAGTGAGTACTGGGTCGCCGAAAATTTGCTCATTGGATGAGCTAATCTCGCCAGTCTCGGCTGGCAAAACTTTTCCCCCTTTGCTCCTGCCTGACTCAAGGCAGTGTTGGCAGGGTACCAGCAGGCGTCAGTCTCTACGCGCCATCTTCTTCTGCAACCGACCTCCACCGTCGAGTCAACCAGCAAAGGCCTCCCATTATTGCTGACGACGGCGTTGCGGATATTGAGTAGATCTTTCAGGATCCTACTCGTACGCCTGCGCTCTCACATACTTGTACGCCTATTAGGGCATTCACTTCTGTCTACTCTCTTCAACAAGACCCGCACTGCAATCCCCACACCTACACGTCCGCTCCTCGTCTCGCAGAGCAGCAAATTAACCGTTGGATCGCGTCAAGGCTAGTCCACGGCCGCTGCCAACATGCCTTCTGCTTTAAATCCCTTCTATAAGAAGAGACAATCCTTCACGTCGCTTCTTAGTCTTGACTCAACTGCTTCCAAGGTCAAGAGGGGTCGATCCTCTAATCGATGTAAGTTCTCTCTTCTCTCTTCTCCTCATCTCTCCTCTCCTCTCCTCTCCTCTCCTCTCCTCTCCTCTCTGAGCGACAACCCTCACCTTCATCCTTCATCATTCATCCTTCATCCTCCAACCCTCCGACCTCTACCCTCAACCCTTAGATCTGTGGTCTGAGGCTCTGAGGCTTTGAGACCCCGCTTGACTCGNCCTCTCCTCTCCTCCCTGAGCGACAACCCTCACCTTCATCCTTCATCATTCATCCTTCATCCTCCAACCCTCCGACCTCTACCCTCAACCCTTAGATCTGTGGTCTGAGGCTCTGAGGCTTTGAGACCCCGCTTGACTCGATATAGTCGTCTGGTCCTGTACTCTGTCGGGAATCAGGAAACGCGAGCGCAGTGCGCAGTGCTCTGCAAGTCCTCTTGTCTTCTCCCTTGTCGTCAGACTCTACCTTCGGCCCCACCCTCTGACTGACTCTACTTTTCAGCCTCCACGATGACTTTGCAAGCCTTTCATGGCAACGAAGTACCAGAAGGTCTCGCGCGCAATCCAGATCATGAAGACAGCATTGAAGAAATGGCAAGCATGCTATTAGACGACACTACCATTGACCAGCTCAAGGCTGATCCAGGCAAGCGGCTTTCCCAAGTCAGTCTTTCAGCAATTGTCAATGACGACAATGAGCTGCCCCAATATGAGTCCTCCCTTTGGAGTGCAGAAAATACGGTTTGGATTAGGCATTCCTCGCCCGCTCCCCCAGCCTCAAGCTTGCAACCAATCGGATACGACAGTTCTGAGGACGAACTCAATACCTTCCCTCCCCCCATTGCTGACAAGCGAGCAGCCGCGCACCTTCGCAAGACTTCTGCCCCGGATATTCCACGCAGATCTTCAAAGCGCAAGTCGGGTCGCTACAAGAGTTCCTTGTCAAGCCCCCAAAAGGTCATTGGTCACTCGCGTAACTCTTCTTCGGCTAACCGCCTTTCGAAGAACGTCAACGACAACCAAGACAAAATCATGAATATGGCTACTCCAGCACACGCTTCAAGTCCTTGTGACGCTGTGGCTCTCACTGACAAGCTCCAGGCAGCTTTCGCAGCTGGTATTTTGCAGATGCCTGCGACCCAGTCAGTACCTACTGAACCTACAACTGAACCTTCCAGTGCAACTAAGAAGCCTCGTCACATTCAAGTTCTCAGCATGGTGAGGGCAGCCTTCCGTGGTTCTAGACATGGCAAGAAGTCTCCTGATCCGGTTCGTGGTGACCGTCTTCTCAACTCGCCAAACATCGGTTCCCCGGGAATGGAAGATGAAGCAACGCTGGCATCTATGACAAGCAGCCTTGAAATCCGACTTAACGAGGGTATGTATTCATATTGTATTTCTAATTGATCGACTCATTCTGACAAGCAATAGGAGAGAATCTCAAAAACCATCATAAACTCAAGAAAATCACGGGTCATGGAACTATCGAACGTAAGCCAGTTGCCGACGATGGGAAGTCCTTGAGAAGTCGACAATCCCATGACCGAGATGATCCATTCTCTGAAAACCCTTCCCATGGTCAAAGGAGATTGGTGACTAGCTTCGAGAATAGGTTGAAATCAGATGTGGCAATGAGTGGTGGCCAATCTAACGAGACGATTCCTGATGTTCCCAAAATCCCTCGAAGCATGACCACTCTGTCACTCTTGAGAGGAACTCAGTCTTTGCATGCAGCATCCGAATCAGACTTTGACACGCTGCTCTCATCCAGTCCAGAAGGCCAGTCAACCCCCCGAATGAGATTGGAGCCTCGATTTGGAGAAGATGGGAAGAAGACACTCAAGATTGCACCCAACGAAGCCCCTTCGGTGTTTGATCCCGACATGACAATGGGAGGACATTGTGATGAACCCCATCCAGAACTTCGATTCCAACGATCTCAAAACTTTGAGCCAGAATCTCGCACAGACTTTGTCGAGGTGATGAATAGACTTGGCCTTTTGGAAGGTGCATCGGAGCCACGCGCGCAGGCAAATGGTTTAGGCGTTCCAGACATCACACTACAATCCCCCACTGCACGTCCCAGCCGTCGATCTTCCGTACGAGTAGTTCGCTGTAAGAAGCATCCATCTCCCAACAAGAATGAACTGGAACTTCTAGAGAGCAGTTTATCCATCATCCTCTTGCAGCAACGGCAGCAACGCTCCGCTAATGTCGATCAGTCTCCAACACGACCTACAAGACACCTGATCGACGAAGTTGTGAGTGTTGGCACAAACTCGAGAGCACCAGATACTTTGAGTAGAAGCGAGATCTCCCGTGCTATGGACTCGACTACCAATCTGGCCAGACTGTCCCACCAACGCTTTTCGAGTTTGTCCGGGTTTTCCAATGACCACTCTCGACGAAGTAGCACCCTATCGGACAGTCGCATGGATATGGATGAGCTGCAATCGGAGAGTTCTGCTTACAAGGTCTGATAAGCTATCAACTCTGCCTACCTCTGTGGATTAGTTTTTACAATCTGTGGGTTTGATGCTTTTCCAGATGTTCGTCATGTGCTGCTCAGCTCGGGAGTACCGCTTGATGGGCAGCCTTTTCCCCTTCGTTTTCTTCCGGAATGCTTGTACTATGTTCAAGTCAGTCTCTTTGCTCTCGCTTTTCATTGCTTCTTTTCTTCTCCGCTCTTCCTCGTGCGGTTCCACGTCTGGTGTTTGGCGTCCATCTTCCTTAAATACGAAATTTGTCGTTCTCGGAGCCAGAGCAGGATGATTACAACCAAATTACAGTACAGGAGATTAATACACATACAGTACGATACGATACATGAGAGTAGAATAATATGCAGTTGTAGACGCGTCAGGGTTGTACTTAGTCTAGATTCAGACTTTCTAATACAATCACTTTCAAAAATATCGAGGTTCATGAAATTGCTTTGCTTACCGTGAGAAGTAGTTCTTTACATTGAGGCGAGTGTATGATCCTTTCAGGTAAGAGAAGCGGGCATTACTCTGTACACACCTGAGTAATAAAATATCATTCTAAAGACCTCACACAGCTAACTCAATTATCCGAATAGTTTCGAACCATTAATACTGTTTAATTCTTATCACACTAGATGAAATAGGACAATGGAGTTACTTGTACCGGAGTTTCATTATAATAATAACTATTGATCGCGCTTCGCCTCTCTTATAAATATATGGGTTTTTCCCAATTCCACTTTTCCCGGATTTTTTGATTTTTTGATTTTTTGATGTTTTTTTTTTGTTAGTGTGCTTATATAGTATGGCTTGGAGGGTTTTTGGTGTAGTGTAGTGTAGTGAAGTGCTGTGCTGTTTTGGAGCTTTTTTAGGTTGGTATTGGGATTATTGTACGGATAGACAGACCTTGTCTAGGTAGGTGGTTCTTAAGGATGTTTATGGATGTTTATGAGGGTTTTATGAGGGTTTTATGAGGATGGTGGGGCGTTTGTGGGGATGGAGATGGATGGAGATGGATGGGGGCTATAGATATTTGACTTGACTTGACGATGTTACTAAAGTAAAGTGAAGTGAATAGGGGTGTTATAGGTAGGTAGGTTGTATGGTTTATTTAACATGCGTGACGTTGGCTTGTTGGATGGAAGACGGGTTGTGGGTGGGGTTGGGGTTGGGGTTGGGGTATGGTGGGAATGGGGGAGGGGTGA